AGGGTTGGAAGTTTTTTATTTCCATTATGTGAAAAATACCTTTATTTGTCAAAATGGTGTCTCTTCAGAACATGTTTTTTTTATTTCTTTTTGTTTTTTGGTTTTTTGGCTTCTTTGGGATTTCTTGTTGTGTAAATATTAGTGTATATAGACGAAAAACAATGACATATATATTATTAAAATTTTCCCTTCGCTAGTTTTCCAGGAAAATTTTGAAATTTGCGAGACTGTAGTTTCAATTAATTCAGTTATTGTAGGTTGATTTCCAAGATTCTTCATGTTGTTATTTTCCACTGGAAAAATTTGAAATTTGAGGAAAATGATCCTCTAATCTTTTTCTTTGCATACAAAAAGTTTGAAAATTTTTCCTTTACTAGTTATCCAGGAAAACTTTGAAATGTGTGAGACTGTATTTTCATATAATTCAGTTATTGTAGGTTGATTTCCAGGATTCTTCATGTTGTTATTTTACACTGGAAAAATTTAAAATTTTGTAAAAATGAGCCTTTTACCTTCCTTTTTACATGCAAGAAGTTTAAAATTTTTCCCTTTACTAGTTTTCCAGGAAAACTTTGAAATGTGTGCGACTTTATTTTCAATTAATTTATTTATTGTAAGATGATTTTCAGGATTTTTCATGTTGCTATTTTTCACTGAAAAAATTTGAAATTTTGGAAAAATGAGCATCTAACCTTCCTCTTTGCGTGCAAAAAGTTTTAAAATTTTCCCTTTACTAGTTTTCCAGGAAAACTTTAAAATATGTAAGACTATATATTTTCAATTAATTCAGTTATTGTAGGTTGATTTCTAAGATTCTTCATGTTATTATTTTCCACTGGAAAAATTGGAAATTTTGGGAAAATAAACCTCTAATCTTCCCCTTCACATAGCAAAAATTTCAAATTTTTCTGTTTATCAAATGTGTGAGACTGTATTTTCAAATAATTCAGTTATTGTAGGTCGAATTTCAAGATTCTTTGTGTTGTTATTTACCACTGGAAAAACTTGAAAATTTAGGGAAATGAGCGTCTTACCTTCCTCTTTATATACAAAAAGTTTAAAAAATTTCCCTTGATTAGTTTTCCAGGAAAACTTTAAAATGTGTTAGATTGTATTTTCAATCAATTCCGCTATTGTAATTTGATTTCCAAGATTTTTCATATTGTTATTTTCTACTGGAAAATTTCGAAATTTTGGGAAAATGAGCCTTGCACCTTCCTCAAAAAGTTTCAAATTTTTTTCTGTGAGACTGTAATTTTCTCTGGAAAAACTTGAAATTTTGGGAAAATGAGCTCCCAAGCTTTCTCTGTATATGTGAAAAGTTTCAAATATCTTCAGGAGAACTTTGAATTGTGTGAGACTGTATTATCAATTAATTCAGTTTCTATAAGTTGATTTCTAAGATTCTTTATGTTGTTATTTTCCACTGGAGAAAGAGTGTCCAAAATGTTTTTGGGAATGATAAATTGGTTCACTTCACAAAAATTGATCTTAGGACCTACAGCAATTTGAATGCGCTCGTGAAAGCCTTCTGTAACTTTTAACCTGAACTTTAAGATTTTCTTTCCGAAATGCTTCTGAACATTCTAGAGTGTTTCAGTATTTTGAAGCTCCCTAGAATGATTCTCTAAATTGTTCGAAAATGCTTTTGGAAAAGAAAGTTCCACCTTTTGTTCCCTATTTTCAGGCTTTGCTCGTCAAGAGGGCGAACAAAAAATAACCGCGTTCAACATGAGCGAAGAACTAGAAGAAGGTTATTCCGACCGCGACGGTCACTCCATTTGACACAATGAAAAATAAGTGCAAGACAATTGGCTGGACAACATTGACTGCCAAAGAATCCAGCCTGGAAGTTCCAAAAAGTACGCAGTAGATTCTTCTACTACAACCGCATCTCATTCGTCTTCATCTGACAGTGAAGCTGAAACTGATTTTTCCGAATTTGAAACTTACAAGCATACTTGAAACCAAATAGATATAAAACTGTCCTGTGTAGAGCGATTGTGCAGAAAGAAAGCTGGCACTCTTAAGGTTTAAGAGGATGTTACTAAACTAACAGAATTGGCCAATCAGGTAAGGATTTAAGCTTGTTGAGAATTGTCTTTAATTTTTACTTGCAGATAGATTCTTACCAAACTAGACAACATGGCCGTGTACCAAAAAACCTTTGAACTAATCCAAGCAAAATTTGAGAACTAGAGTTGGACATGTACTCAAACGATTTCGACATCAAGGAAAAATCCAAGTTGAATGAAGATTCTTCAACTTCCACTGACCAAGTTTTTGAGGCACCTCTTCCAGCAGAACTGAAATGGTCAAATGATGATGAAAAAATCGAGGAGCCTTTTAATAACGCACAAATGGTCAAGTGGCAAAATGAGAAATACTTTAAGAGGGCTGTTATGGTCAGAAAATGTGGGGAAAAGTCGAATTTTTATTCTTTGAGCAGAATTGATTTTGAGTTGTATGAATAAATAAAGATTTAAATTTTGAAAATGTTCTTCCTCTGATTGGCCTGATACTAAAATGTCAACGATATATGCCGTGGTTCCTTTCAGACCTGATAACATGGTATCTATACCTTGTTGAAAAATGGCTGGGGCAACTTTTATACCAAATGGAATTCTATTGTATTGAAACAATCCATGATGAGTGTTTATTGTTGAATATTATCTTTATTCTTCACGGATTTCAATTTAAAGGAAAGCATCAAAAAGGTCAATGATACTAGAAATTATAGCGTTTTGTAACTTTGAATTTTTTTTTTCTACTGTTGGAAGAGGCTAATGATGTGGTAGAAGTGCTTCATTGAAACCAGTAGAGTAATTCCCACATAATCTGACATGTCCGTTTCGTTTCTTTGTAACTGCAATTGGAGCTGCCCGATCAGAATATTCAACTAATGATTTGATATTTTTTTCTTGCATCCTTTGAAGTTCTTGGACAACTTTATCCATGACTGAAATAGCTACTGGTTTTTTTGCTTTGAAAATAGGAACTGCATCTTCTTTTATATGAAGATTTACTTTTTTTTACAATGACCTAATGTTACTTGAAAAACATTAAGAAAAGCTAGTTTTAATGATTCTATATTGATTAAAAATTGTCTTGATTTAACAACAACGAGTGGTCTGTCTTTGTTACTTATATTATCATTTGCATATCATTGACAAAGACGGACTAGTCGTTCTCCTGAGAACGTTGCTTCCCTGTTTCAAGAATAAGGACCTTGAAGCGGTTTTGGTATCATGATTTGTGTGCTGACACTCCGGTTTTCCTATTTTTGTTTATGTTTCTTGTAAGGTAACCGTGATATCTGAAGCTGTATCAATTTGTAACCTGAATGGAATAATATTGATTATGACGGTTTATTGTTGAACTTGAACTTAAAATTTTGCTGAAAACCTAAGTTTGGTGAATGTTTATTTCTGTTCGAAATGGCATTTACATTGAGAGACGAATTTTTAATTATTTGGGCGTCCTTCTTTAAATTTTCGATCCTCAAATTTTCTAATGTATGTTGATCATTGCTCGTAGAATCTAATTTGTTTAAAATTGGTTCGTATTTCACTATCTTTACTTGATTGTAAGCCACAAGTAAAAATTGAACTTTTAAATTCGTTTGCTGTGATTTGATTTGTCTTGAATTCTTCACACATTTTGTGAACACGTGAAGCAAATGCGACAAAATCTTCCGATTCATTTTTATTAAACTTCATGCATTGATATCTTGTGTGAAAAATTGTAATTTTTTTACCAAACAACTGGGTTAGTTTGTTTACAGTTTCACTGAAAGTTAAATCTTTGATTTCCTTAGGTAAAATGAAATTGACATACATTTTATGGATTTGTGAGTCTAATTTTCTTAGGAGAAGTCTTACTTTTGCGGGGTCTAAAATAATTTTGGCATCTTCTGTAAAAAGGCTTTGATATCTTTTGAACTATACATCAAAAGTGCTCCCTGTTTCCTGATCATAATAAAATTCTGTGATACAATAACCCAGGGTTTCCATCCGAAACTCTTCGTTTGGTTTGACTTAATTTTGAGTTAAAATTTAAGGAAAACTGACCCAAAAATTCTTGCTGACTTTTGATAAGAAATTCTTGTAGAGACCTTAGGAAAGTGGTGAGAACTTCTGTCATTTGTTCCATGTTCATTATCCTACCGACTGCGCCAAATTGTTTTAGTTCGGATCAACTACAACAATATTTGTTTTTCTCCAAACGTCAGAAAAACGTCACTTTGTTAACTTCTGTCAAGAAGTCAGAAATTTGATTTCTATGCTGCTAGGCAAATCCAGCGGGTTAACACCTGTCGAGGTGGTAGAAATTTAATTTCTATGCTGCTTGGCAACCCCAGCGGCAGCAAAAGTACTTTTTGTGCCGCTGGAGCGGCAGTAGAATTACTTTTAGTGCCGCTCGTACTTTTACTGCCGCTCAACCATCTACTTGCCCCGAGATTACACCATTCGTTTGGAGAAAAAATAGCGTGTTGCATACGGAGTAGAAGCACTTTTTTGTGCTTCAGCAGTATTGCAAGCCTCACTACGTTCGGCTTGCAAACCTACCGCTTCAGCACAAAAAAGTATAGCTTCTACTCCTAATATAACAATATACTATTTTCTCCAAACGTCAAAAAAACGTCACTTTGTTAAGCCCTGTCAAGATGTCAGAAATTTAATTTCTATGCCGCTAGGTAAATCCAGCGGGTTAATACCTGTCGAGGTGGTAGAAGTTTAATTTCTATGCTGCTTGGCAACCCCAGCGACAGCAAAAGTACTTTTAGTGCCGCTCGTACTTTTGCTTCCGCTCAACCATCCACTTGCCCCCGAGCTTACCCCATTAGTTTGGAGAAAAATTAGCGTGTTGCATACGGAGTAAAGCTTCTACTCCTAATACAACAATATACTATTTTGAAAAGATTTTATTACATTCAACAGTAAAATACAATGACAGGCAATATGACAAAAATCAAAACTTGACTTGCTGGTTAACGTACTTTCAGGTATGTCTTGGTACTTCTGGTACTGTTTCCTAACAGTTTCTTGTTAGACTACATCCTATAGATTGATTTCGGATTCTGCTGGATTGGACTAAGGAGTTTTGATGTATTGTAAAAAAAAGAAGAAATATTGTAAATAATCCAATGTTTTTATTTTTTTCAAACAACTATCAAACTTTCAAAAAATACCTCTTTGTAGAATATAAGTAAAATAATATAAGTATACGTCTAGTGAGTCTACATAAACAAAAATGCATTTTTTTTCACTAGACGCTGATAGATACAATTAAAGCAACATGGACAAATACAGCGGCGGAAGTGCATCTCTCCTTTAGTTGTTTAGCTTGTGTAACAACTGCAGCTCTCACACCAATATAAATACCAGTTACCAGTTGCAGTAGTCCTATGTGAAAAAAAAAAAAATAACAATGTTCAGTAAGAAAATAACACAAATTAACATTTACCTCTGATAAGAATCGTGACCACGTTGGATGCATTCAGCAAAATCTTTAAACTAATCTTTCCTCTAACCCTAACAGCTACATCCAGTGCATTTACAATATTACCAATAACGGGTAAGCCAACCAAGACGCCAAATAAATTACCACCTAGTAGTAGACCAATTACACCACCCAGATTCGATAAAACTTCTGAGAGTAACTTGCAAATACATGGACCACGGCCCAGATTTATGCCCAAGTACAACAAAAGCTGAATCTGTTTTAAAATTCTGATTATTAGTAACTATGTATCATTAATCATTTGATACTTACACCAAGAGGACTGTCGAGTAAGCAAATGAGAATCAATAATAGTTGAGGTATACATAAAGCAGTACTAACTACACTAGTTATCAAAATTAAAACTTCCACTACTACGCCAAGAAGACCACTTACGGGACCCACAATACCCTTAAGTAAAACTTCAATAACTACTGAAATTACAATTCCACCAATGGCCAAAGTTCCATTCAAAAGTGCTTCTACAATAGTCACAAGGCCACCAAGAACACCTGTTGCATTAACTTTGCCACAAGCATTAAGAAGCAATGTGAGTTCTGCATGCAATTCTCCTAGAAGGTTTGATGAACCATTTTGACTTCCTAATGCTACGAATTGTATGAGAACCAAGATAAATACGTCGATTTGGATTGAGCCCGCTATTAAGGCAAGAAGATTTCCAATTACCTATATTAAAAATTATTGGTTAAATATAATTTCTACAATGTTTGGATAATAGTTACCAAGAATAACCCACTAAGTCCAACAGAAACATTTCCACCGAGTTGACCGATCAACAGACAAAGACTTTGAGCATTTCCAAGAAGTCCAGCTAAAGGAGATAAGTTAAGATGTGCACCAAGTTGAAGGATTAGATTAACAAGGCACACTAAACCATCTACAGCACCAATAATTACTCCCAGCTCTAACAATACACCTGCAGCTAAAGCTTTTAGCAGAGTACCAGCTACAAGGACTAAAACACTCGCTAATCCTTGTAGAATATTCAACAGACCACATATGTCCACTGCTAATTCTATTACTCCCACAACAAGCTAAAAATAATATAAACTAATTTGCCTAATTGTATGTGTATGTTCTTACAACGAGTAATCCTTCAAGGGGACCAGCAAGAAGGTCCAAAACGGCCGCAACAATTGATATGACAAGTACCAAAGCTAGAGTTACATCTGCCAGAAGTTCTACATCTAAAATATCTACCAAACAAATAACTAGACTGGTCACTACTTCTAAAACTTCTATGGTTACTGTTTCCAGGGTAAATGTGATACTCCCAGCGATAGTTAACAGTCCACTCAAATCAGCTCCAATGGATATCAAAAAATCATCTAAAGTTCCATCCGCGGAATTCCATAATCCACCCGGTATATGAGCGCCTTTGCTACCGTCCTTGTTTACACAAACCCCAGATCCAGAATTTCCTAATTTATAAAAGCTTGATTATATTGTTCAATATTGGATATTTTTGCTTACCATCGAGTAAGACAAACAAGTTGACATTGATATCGATGACCAAAGCGACGGCAGCTGTTGCATTTAGGACGACCAACAAATTTTCGGCGGGGCTTGATAAAGTCAATGGTGAATCGTTCGTATTCCTTTTTTCACGAATGCGCTCCAAGTACACGGGTCCGTTACCCTTCACCCATGCAGGTACTGGTGGAATCAAGCCTCTGGCATTGTACTCTTAGTAGCGGGAAAACAAATTATTTTCAGATTTTTATCTGCTGTGAATTTATTACAATGGAAATTCAAAAATAAGACTATAAATTTTCATTTGGCTGCAATTGATTACTAATTGGCCACAAAAATTGATATTGAGATTTATCGAAAGCGATATGAATTTTGGTTTATAATATTTATGGTTTTGTGCTTTATATTTTTATTGAAACTGGGTTTTTGCATCTAAAACAGTTACTGGCTGGTACAATTGATTTTTGATTAAAAAAAGAAAAATGTATCCATTGAAATAATAAATATAAGAGCAAGCATCTGCAAGCCAACCTAGGCAGTGTAGTGGTTAGTGGTCCCGGGTTCGAATCCTGGCTGGGGCATGATTGTTTGTTTGTTTTACCGGCTTGTTGGCTCGGCGAGAGGATGTGGAAGGACTTTCTCAGGTTTGCGTGGTGTCGGTGAAGTCTGAATGGCCGACCATGGATTGCGAATCGGACCATCTTAGGGTGGGGGAGGCATGATAAGGCCAACTATTCAGACTCTAGTATGAATGAATGGGAAAGAGTAGCGTCCATGTGAATTTTTTATTTCATTTTTTTATTTTATTTCGTTTATTTAGCAATAGCTAATCGAGCAACTCACATAATATATAAAATGACAAAAGTTATAATGAGTCTGTAGTTTCAATTAAAATAATAACAATTCAAAAACAACAAACAATTCAAAAATAAGAAAATTAAAAACAAAGGAGACAAACCTAATTAACATAAATGACAAAATGAATTTTAATTTTAACATATTATATAAACAGCAAACATTCTGAAGGTAATAAAAAAAAATTAAAAATCTGTAAAATGTTAAGCCTAAACTCCTAAAAGTATTACCTATATATTCCTTTTTCCCTCCACAAAATACAAGATCAAAAGACCGCAAAAGAAATTCAAATCAACAAAAACAATGTTACTTATTCGTGCCTTACTCCGGGACATATATCGCATTGAGTCAGCAGATGAACTTTAAATTTTCTTTTAAAATTGCTAAGAGTATCACATGACTTCATTTCATCTGATAACTGATTAAACTCATCCATACCTCTGTAATGACCCGGGAAAATAGACCCGTAATTTATAATGTCCTAACTGTAAAAATTAAATGTATAATCAAAAACTGAATTTCCTCTATTTCAAATCAGTATCAATAAACTGAAAATGAAACAAATTAGCGTTGACCCCAAATTATTTATATACGTTAAAAATTTTATTATTTAGTCACCAAGCGTGATGTCATCACCAAAATCAAATTCATATAAATATTAGAAGCGAGGCCAAAGTAATTGAATAGGTGATTTATGGCCGCACGTGTTGTCGGTTTTCTTTGAATTATACGTCCTCACATTCTTAAACCAAATCTGTTGACCCCGATAAACCAAGAAATTGCGACATAATTATTCGACTTTAAACAAATAACAAGGGAAGGTTGATGAATGATGAAATTAGGAATTTTGGGGGGACGAAACATATAAATACAGCGGTTTTAGAAGTCTTGAGAGCAGTTGTTAGTTCAGTCCAGTTCAGTTTTAAGTCTACAGTACCTAATGAGTCAGTGCGGATAAAATTTGCGAAGAGTTTTTTTCCTTGTTTTTGCCTCGGGAAAACGCGTTAACTCTTTGACCAGTAACGAAAATTTATGAAAGAAAGGCCATTTAAATTCGTTCAACATTATGTGCGCGCTCTCGCTGAATTTTGAGTAAATTAATTTTATCGAGTGATAATTCAAATGTTAGTACTCTAGTGACTATTATTGTTTTTTTTTTTTTTACTTTATAAATGATTCGGAATGGTAAGAAGTGAATTGACATTGAAACTTTAATGCATAAAAACTTGAGTGATTTGACTGTAAAATAGTATATTACATACCTAGAGGGAAGTGTTTTATTACTGTCGAGAGATTTATATAGTCAATCGAGACGCGAAGCTTCGTGATTGACTATTAATCTCGAGACAGAAATGAAAACTTACCTTCGAGGTTTGTATACTATTTTATTTGCAAGCACCATTAAAAATGATTAGTCATTCAATTTATTTAATATTAAAAAAAATAAAACAAACATGCCAAAATGTGTCATTCACTGTTTTGAGGTTTTTACCTGACATATTCTCATTGTTGCCAGCAAAGGTAAATAAATTAGAGTGAGGGAAATCGGTGAGGGAAGTCGAATAGGGAAATCGGTGAGGGAAATCGAAGAGGGAAGTGACACAGGTAAAGTGATACTTCCAAATTTTTGAAAAGTCAGTAATGTCAAGATTACATATGGTTGCGAATAAACGTTATTGCATAACTTTAATTGCCTTCGAGTATAATGACATTTTAATTCAATTTTGCAAAGAATTAACAAAGGAAAATTATAATGCTCTTAACAATATACGATTTTGAGTAGGATTTAATTGTGTTTATTTTGAACCGTACCTATATGTAATTTTCACATTCCTTACTGGTTTGAAGGTTCGTAAATGTCAATTTACCTTTGTTTACTTTAAAGCAGGCCGAAAGTGACTGTTCTTCTCTCACTTTCAGCCTGGAGAACTCACTTTCGGCCCTGATAAATTGTTTCTCACCTAAACACAAATCCAGGTGCAATGCACAATGCAATGTTTGTATTTAGAAGTAGATGTCACGTGTGTTTGTATTGTTGAAATTTCATAAGATGTCAATGTCGGTGTCAGACTGTCAGTCGAAATTCCATTTTTGTCATAGTATCTCTCGACAATAATGAAACACTTTCCGCCTCCGCATGTAATATACTATTATTGGCTACGAATCCGAAAATAGTATTTGTTCTGATTAAATAAACCATTAAATGAAATGGGAAGTTTCGAAAAGAAACTTGTTGTTCATGAAATGAGATTGTTGACGTTAATCATTGAAAGTAATGGAAAGGTTAGTTTAAAAACTGTTGTTCTTCATGAAATAAAATTGCTGTCGTTAATCATGAGAAGTATTGGAAAGTTTTATTTAAAAATTGTTGTTCATGAAGAAACATTGATAACCTGAAGTGCTGAAATTTTGAATTAGGGTTTTTTCTCATTTAAAAATTATTGTAAGGTTTTTAGAAAAATATAGTTGAGAATTTCATACATCTGTCAAAACTGGTATTCCAGCAATAAATTGACATGTTTTGATTGTTGATTTGAACCAATCAGATTGTAATTAAGCGATAATTTGCACTAGTGCTAATTATCAGATAATGGGGACATTCACCATATTTGAATTTCATTGCTTTATTATTTTTAATCAGTTGTATTAACCAAAATAAAAATACCTGCCAGTTGGGTTTAAAATGTCCTAATTTTGTTTAAAATAATTTTCAAAAATGCTGTTTTCATCCCACATATTTAAACGTGCTGGAATGGCGCCATTGTATGACGTATATACACTTTCCGACCAATAAGAATCGTTCACAATAACTCTGGCGCACATCTTATATGCTTTCCTTGTCTAAGCTCTGAAGAGTGACAATGATGAAATTCCTCATTCGTTATTTGCATCTTGTTCGTTTAACGCTGGTCAACATAACCTCTTGACAGTTAGACAGTGCAACGTTGCCAAATTGAGTGTCGTGATTCCTTAATACTAACATGACGTGGCATAAATCCATTTTCAACACTAGAAAAACTGTTGTTCTACAACTAAACCCACTAACAATTAAAAAACTGCATTAATTTTCTAATTGTAGTCCAAAATATACAACAAAAAACTATGTTATGCAAGGATAAAAACGAGGTTTCTAGAGGCAATCTTGGAAATCAACAATGGCAACGACAATCTGACAACGTACTTATTTGCAGTATATTTTTGCTAGTTGTAGGGACTGACGTCATATTCGGCGGGTTTTCTGCGGCGTTCGAAATGCTGCTGAATTTATATTTTTTATTAAAAATTAACGACAACTCAAATCTTCCCCAAAATAGTGCTATTAGACTTAGTTTGTGTTCTAGAATTAGAAAATAAAATAAAAAAGAAACACTAAATATCCCCATTGCATACTAACTGGTGCGAAAAATGGTGTTTTGACATTTTTTGACAAAAAATTTAAATTTTTGATTTATGAAATTCTCTCATTAAATACAACTCGTGCAATGGAAATATATTTATAATTTTCGACAAATTTGCACTCATGCGTTTTTAACTGAAAAAGGCACTCGTGCACTACGTGCACTCGTGCTCTTTTTCAACTAAAAATGCATTCGGGCAAATTTCCCAAAAATTATCAATAATTTCCATTGCACTAGTTATATTACTATTGATAATACATATGTACTTAATCCAGTGAGTAGGATTATGACTTAAATAATTATTTTGCATAAACTGTCAGTGAATGACTTAGGAGTTTTAAGAATTTATAGATATAGGGGAAGGGTAGTTTTAATAGGAATGTGAATCAGAAGTGTCGTTTGAAAGAGTACCGTAAAACGGGGTTACTTTAGAACGGCCAGGTGACTTTGTGACACATGGTAGCGGGTGCACCAAATCCTCAACAGTTTGCGCATTTCTGAACCGACAGCCTTGCGATTGCGCTAAAGGCATTCCAAAAAGTGCGCGAACAAATCAGTACATCAATTAATATTGTGAAAGACGGCATCCAGCTGTGCGTGCGGAAAATATCAACAACAGATAATTTCAATATTTTACTTTTGCTGTAAACTGCAAGCCAAATGATGTAAGTTTATCATTGACCTACCAGAATTTTTTTTTTTTTTTTAGGTTCATAAAAATCAACCGAAACCATACAATTTGTCACAAAGTAACCTCGTTTTACGGTAATGTATACACTTATAAGTTATTAAGAATAGAAGAAGTAGGGCGTTTTTAGTAGATATTTCCTGGTCCGTAGTAATGAAATTTGAACGAATGTGAAATAATTTGATTTGGGAAAAATAGAAGTGGCTGTCAGACATATAAAAATCTTTGATTATTTTAATTTTGGTTTTAAGTATAATAAAATATAATTTAGTAAACCTCAATAGTTTGTTTCTCTCTTTTGCGAATAGAGCCCCTCCACAATTTTATAGGTAGCCGCTCAAGGAGATAAACACCATCAATATACCGCTCGCCATTTACCATCCAATTGATTAAATAGAGTACTTGAGTGCATTTTGCAACACCTCTAAAGAATACTGCTTGGTGATGCCCCACATCTACGTTGTATATAGAAGTTGTTTTGTTGTCTAATGTTATGATCATGTACCTGGCTATTTTAAGGCTTAAAGTCAACCCCCATTTTCTGAACCTTGTGTTCAAAAATTCCAAAAAAAATATATGTTTTATGGTTATTGATATACTTTAATCCATAATTTTTTTAAGCAAATTTGACTCGCCATTTTTGAGATATATCGCAAAAACTGAAAAAAAAGTGGTTTTTCACCATTTATTTCAAAACGAATAGATGAAGTTTCCCGTTATTTTTATTACGAACTACTATTGCAATTCTACGCGACATATATTTTTTTTTCAATTTTTTTGAACTTGTAGTTTTCTCGCTACTGCAAGAATAGTTGGAAATACGCCTGTAGCAACACTGTTTAAAAAAAAAATCCGACGGATGAACGTTCAAAATTATTTGTGTTGGTCCAAAGTACAACCCTGTTTATGTAAAACAGAATAATACTTCGAATTTCCGCAAAAAAAAAAGAAAAAACTTTCCATCACACAATTTAATCAAATGCAGATTTCTATTTTTTTTTTACTATTAAGTTAGGGCACACTATAGGGGCGACAGTACTGACATCTCGCGTTGCTGTAATAAACTATAGGCCTGACTTTAAACCTTAAACCCTCTTTCTTGTCAGATATAATGGAGCAAGTCCAATGGGGTAGTATACTAGGTATAAAAATCAGTAAAAAAACTGCTCGACATTATTCTATAGGCTAAATGGTGATGGTATAGTGGGATACTAAATTACAATAGTATTCAAGCCGCTGACCATCTGGCATCGCTGCTCAAAAGGCCTCAAAATGACAGCTGACTTCAACAGTTCAACGACGTGTGGTTTCCTGTGAATCGTGTGACATGTGACATTGTCACAGGAACTTGTCTACGTTGTTTGATGTAGTAAATTTGACGTTTCGTTCTTGACGGTCAATGTCAGTGCAAATTATGCGTTCTCAAAACCATTATGTGTTGCCAGATTGGAAAAACTAACTACGTCACGAACTTTTATTTTCACGTAGGGGCGGGGCTAAGAGGAAATTAGAAAAAAAAATTCCAGGCTATTGCGGTTTTTACAAAGCAACTGATCACACTAAACAGTATGATACGTCGAGTATATCACTACGTAGTATACTACCCCATTTTAATTTCAAAAATAAACACCAGTATATTATATTAAGCATATTCAACAACTGGAAGCCACTGAAGCAGTCTAAGCATGCTCTTTACAGAAGTATACTTGCTACATGAGAGTACGATTCTCATAGATCTATTCTGCAGTCTTTGGATTTCATTCTGTTGTTGCGCAATAATTGAAGTGTGGCAAAACTATAGTGTTAAAAATAACGATTCTAGATCAAGTTGAGAGGAATGCCGAAGAGCGCCGAAGATAATTTGTCTTGAAACTAATTTTAGAAACCAGAATATTGCAGTGATCCCTAAATTTCAATTTGTTATCAAGAATAACCCCAAGATACTTAATTTTTTGAACTTCTTCCAACTTATTGTTACCCATTTTAATTGAATAGTTGCTCTAATAAACAAAAATTTAGTTTTGCTAATATCTATTAATCTTCAAAAGATTCTTTGATGCATAATTGTTCATTCTATTTAGGGCATTGTTAACAGTTTCCATCAACACATCCAAATCTTTTGAGAAGCCGTAGAAAAGACTCTCATCAGCGAAGTTGCGTAATTCAATGTCAATTATCACATCCGGTAAATCGTTGATATAAATAATGAGCACTAGTGGACCCAAAACACTTCCTTGTGGTACACCATGCTCGTTGATTATCTGTATTGAATTTATTCCATTTAGTCTGGCTAATTGTCTTCTTAGTGTCAGATAATCTTCAAACCATCTCAACACCACCTCTCCAATTACAATTCTTTCCAGTTTCATCAGTAATCTGTGCCGATCGACCGTCTCAAAGGCTCTCTGTAAGTCCAGAAAAACCGCCAGTACACTATAACCTTGGTCATATTTTATTTTAAATTCATCCAGAATGTACTGTATTGCAGTTTCACAGGTGTGACCATTTCTGAGACCTGACCGTTTCTCTGTTATAATATTATATGTGTTCAAAAATTCAAGAAGCTGCATATATACAACTTTTTCAATTATTTTCTCAATGACAGGAAGTGTATAAATGGGACGAAAATTAGATGCCTTTATGGAGTCAGGCTTTTTTTGAACTGGTATTATTGTAGCGAGCTTTAGAGGATCCAGAAACTTTCCTTGTTTTAGTGAACTATATATTAGAATAATCAGGGGTGCTTCAATAGACGGATATATATTCCTTATCAATGTTACATTCAAGTCATCAGGGATATTCTTGTTTTTCAATGACATAACAATCCTATACAAAGAATCAGGAACTATTAATTTGAATGAGCTGAAATCTGCATTATTTTTTGTGAAGTCATTTAAGATATCTGTATTCCCTAAGTCGGGTTCAATTTGTTCAATAATGCTGTCTACATAAAATCTGTTTAGTCTTTCGGGCAGACTGTTTTTATCCGTTATTATTTCTCCTTTCATCTCTACTTTTTCAATGTTTGCATATTTTTTCTTTGGTAAAATTTATCCCAATACATTCCACATTGCCCTAGGATCCCGTTTACATCCATCCACCTTGTGCTCATAGTATTTTATTTTGTCCTTTTTGATAGTTTTAACTACTTGATTTCGCTTGTCCTTATACGATCTATGTGCATCCTCACTTTTAAGCAATTTGTAAACTTTATAACTTTTATCTCTTAGTTCTGTTGCTTTTTTGACATTCTCATTCCACCATGGTTTATATCGTGGGAAAATTTTAATCTGTTTTAATGGTGCTACATTATTCAAGGCCTGATGAACTATTGCCAGAAAGACACTTGTCATCCATATTATTTATATTAAAGTGCCAATTAACCAATTTTAGGTTCTCTTCTATTAAACCATAATTTATATTTTTCCCTCTACTTAAAATAAAATGTGGTATCTTGTTTTGTAATTGCAAAATTGTAGCATTGATACATATACAGGGTGTCCAGGGAAAACAGTCCACCCCGATTTATTGGATTTGAAATGAAAATCTGGGAAAACGCTCGGACACGTCAATGATTGATTTGAGGGGGAACTATTTTCCAGTTTTTTTCATTCCCGTAGCTTCAAGACCCTAGGCAGGGGGAGAACAACCCCCCAAATTTGAATAGTGGCTAGGGGTCGTGTCATACCTCTTTTTAATGGTCTCATCGACTTCTTTATGACCCTAGAATTTTATCTTATTATTTCCATCTTTAACGAAATGACAGCTTGTCAAAATCTTGGAAATAGCCAATTGTTTTAGTAGGAGTAAAAGCGGTACTTATCTCCCTTAATAAAAATACGAGTGAAAATACCTACAATTTACAATTCTCGTGTACACCTCATTATTAATAATAATAAAAACCTTCAATTTCAGTATTTTTATTGAGGAAGGTAAGTATCGCTTTTACTCCCACTAAAACTAATAGTATATCTCCAAGATTTTGACAAGCTGGCATTTCGTTACGGATGAAAATAATGAGACGAAATTCTAGGGACTTAAAGACTCGATGAGACCTTTAAAAAGAGATATGACACGACCCCTATTCCCTATTCAAATTTCTAGGGTTGTTCTACCCCTAGCTAGGGGGTTGAAGCTACGGGAATGAAAAAAACTGAAAAATAGTTCCCCCTTAGATCAAAAATCGACGTGTCCGAGCGTTTTTCCAGATTTTCATCCCAAATCCAATAAATCGTGGAGGACTGTTTTCCCTGGGACACCCTGTACTTAGCTTATCCAAAACACGTCACTTTGACAAGCAAACAAGGTGTATAATAATGATCACTCACTCTGGGGGCATGTTTTACTTTAGGAATCAGATCTAGATAATTTGTAAACAGCAAATCAATACATGTACCACCGTCTCTATTTGGCCTCGTAATTTCCTTAATTTATTGTTGAAATCTTATATCATGTGAGATATTAATGAGACGCTGTGTATGTGTGCGTGCTTCAACATGTCAATATTATAATCTCCCATTACTATAGTTGGTATGTTATTATAACATACAGAATCATGACACCATTCTTCAAAAAAATCCTTCTCACTTCAGCTTGCGGATCGATATAGACAAACTACATACAAGTTTTTATTACTAACTTTTATCTTAACTCCTAATACCCAATACTTTCTTTCAAACTTAACACGGCTTATTGATAATATTTTAATAAAGATCTTTAACTAGATTTGTACACCACCTGTAGAACGGCTTGAACTGTCTAGTCTAACCAATCTATATCCATCTATATTGACTTCATCATCTCCAATGTCTTCAGTCAAATGTGTTTCAGACAAAAAAAATAATTATAGGATCCAAGTTGAGAACTGGGGCATGGATTTGATCAAAATTAGCAATTGTACTACTCGAATTAGGATGCAGAAGATCACATTCTGTATCCTTACTATCAATATTCTTATTCCTACGACAGCCTTTCATTGCTCTCATCAAAAACAAAAATGTATAACTAATATGTCAGTGATTCTTACCATGAAAAAATGTAGTTGCTAATAGGCACGAGAACAAAACGGAATATGCTTTTCGATTCATTTTCTTCTCTATTCTACTGCGAATAATGCTACCAAATCAAAAGGTTATTTGTTTTATACTTTTTAAATCCATAAAAAAACCTTTTGTCTTACGTATATGTTCCATTATTAGTACCAGATAACTTTTTCTAGTTTTTGAGTAGAAAATGCATGGCCAATAGAAAAGTAGCGAAAGCATACCAGGCGATAATATTGAAAATTGTTTTCAATAAATATATTTCCTAGCCTATTAGACAGAAAAGGCGAATCGCAGTTTTCGAACAATAAATAATAATATATTTGTTTACGAAATTATGAAAATACGAAAGATTCATTTATGATTGTTGAATAATTTATAGCTGAACTTATCGTCAATAGTTACGGATATAGAATATTTTGCAAAAAATAGTAGAATCAATTTGCGTTGTTAATGGGGTACTTGCATCAAAAAAAATAAGTCAGCACGTGATTTTTCTTTTCCTTCTCAGTCAAAAATTGACGGAGATACAACGCTATGAAATTTGCCTATGACGTCACTTATCATATAAATTGATGACGTCGCACATGCTCAGTATATCTATAATATTTGTATAACTTCCAGAATAATCGTACTGGAACAAACAAAAAAACACGCATCAATTTTTTTTCGATTTCCTACAGTTTCCAATAAACAATAATCAATTCAATTTTTCATGCAAGTACCCCATTGAGACAACTAATTTGGGTTAATTAAGCTATAAAACAGTGGAATTCAAGGTTTGTTCAGGACACCATTTTTTAAGAATCTGAAATCAATAGGGTTTGTTTTAGGCGCAGCCGCAAGCTTTGCACTGTTCTTGAACCATTCTAGACTTGAACAGAATGGTTCAAGATGAACTTTTGATGCTATGTCCTTTAACCTGGTTCTCGCTTTTATCCAAGATTTTGTCCTTTCAACATTATCCATGGTGCTCGCTGGACCATGAAAGATTTTTAAAATTGGTGCGTCAATTCGAGAGTCGTTTATTGCTGTTTCTATGGGTCATAGCTTATTGCTATCAAATGCCTTTGAAATTCTGCAAAAGCGAATTACGAATCAATGACCCCATATATCCGGAATACCGTCCGGAATACCGCCCAATATCATTGAGGCCATGGCTAAGCTAAGCAATATTTTATACTTATGTTCTCGTAATAAATATTAATTTTTATTAAAGGGCTTTTTGAAAACATCCTTCGCCAGGGAAAACCCTTAATTGGCGCAGTAGTATAGTGGAAGAGCCCTTAAAGATCCTCGTCGTTCGTAAACGTTTATCCGCTAGTTAACCATAACCACTCCCTCCTATAGTTAACAAGCCATGAAGTTGGAAATGACGGCAACGTCGCGTATGGTGATATTTTGTTATTGGGTTATGTGTTTCTGTGTATTGCTTTCATTGTGTATTGTTGCAATTTAGTATTTTTATGGGCATTATTGACGAAAAAGTGGATAGAAACACACCAATATATTGCCCATATTTAGTTGATACCTGTTCCTTTGTGCTTTGATTGCTAATTTTTAGCAAATGAGTACAGGAGCAAAAATGAAGGTAAGGTAAGGTAAAACAATAAAAACAATATTAATATTTGTCTGCAAGAGCATAGGTCTAAGATATTTAAACTTGTTCCAGATGCCATGAAACTACTGTGTTCCTGGGTGCAAATCGAACTATTAGGAGTTCCTTAAAAACTGAAGAAATGCAAACATTTTTATTTCCAAAAAAATTCTGAGATAATATAATAAAGATAATTATACCCGAGATTATACAATAACGAAAAATTCTGTGGTGTGTTGTGAGCATTTTGAAGAAACCGAAATAATTAGATTTGAAACAAACAAGGATAAAGGCGTAGTTCGAGAGTTCAAACTAAAACGTCCAACTCTTAAAAGTAGGTACCAGGTACCTCTTATTTTCGAAAATCAGCTCAAGTATTTGAATGGACTTGCCTTCCGAAAAAATCCCGAAGAAAGAAAAAGTTAGATTTTCAAAAGACATACTGAAACATAGGCCTATCACTTTAGACTCTAGAAATATATTCATTTAAATCAATTATTTACTGTTCTTATTTACACAAATAGTTAAATTATTCATTGAATTACTGTTTTTGGCCCTTTAGTACAATAAATTATGCATTTTTTGTGATTCATATTAATAAAATAAAAAATATATATTTATACAAACAAACACCACCAGCACCACTTGGCGGTAAGATTGCGGTGTTGCCTTTTTAACTTCATGGCTTGTTAAATGTAGGAGGCTGTGCCATAACGCGAAGAAAACTATAGAGTTCTCCGACAAAGTTTAGTGCCTAAGTGACTTTTAGTGATTTCAGTGTTGATATGCACCATTGCATCTTTTTATTACGGTAAGCATATATGTCTACTGACGATTCACGAAAGTTCTAACTCTTACTGATTCCAACAAGTTACCTGTACCTCCCTCCGAAGAAAAAATGCCTGGTAATCTTCCAACTTTCGACATGAATAAGAACCTGACGATAATTCCAGAATATAACGAAAATCCCAATGAACCCTTCGAGTTTATTAACTCTACCATGTTACTACTAAATTATTCCTGGAACAAGATTGATGTAGGATGCTTTCAGAACCACATGCTTACCCGGGGCATCAAAAGCAAACTTACTGGTCGAGCAGAAGAAACTGTTTCGATCTATGGATGCCTTGATTGGGAAGCAAACAAAGAAGTTCTGATACAATACTTCGCCGACCAACGCAAAGGGAATTCCCTTACAAGAGAACTAGTTAACTCACGTCAGATGCCAAACTAATCTCCTCAACAATTCTACGAAAAAGTTATGGAACTTCTAAATACTATTTCGAATTACATAGAACTCCACCATAATAATTCAGATTTCAAAACAAGTAAGAAACTTTTCTGCCATCAACAGGCGCTCCACATTCATGACAGGACTAGTAGTGTAGTTCCCTCGTACGAAATTTTCGAAGAAAACGCCAAATTGCATTACAAGCATGAAATTTTGAGTTGTCAGGAAACACATTTTAAGAGATCTGACCCGATCCGATTAGCCAGGCTCTACAACCTATAAGGCTCTGAATTTCGCGATTTTTTTTCATAATGGCGGGCGAGAATTTCCTCAATTCGAAAATTAATTTACTTGGGCATAATTATAACCTTTATTATAATATAATTTGAGGTCAAGGAATTGAAGAAAAAATATTTTCAAAACAATAGATAGGTATAACCTTCAGTAACCTTGAAAATTATAGTTTAAATTAATTTTAAAGTAACATGTTTGAAACCGCCAATATAGCAGGTTAAAAATCAGAAATGATTGCTTAGTATTAGCATAACATAAATAAAAATTAATATGTCTTATAATATATTATAAAGACAAAACGTTTCTTTAATAACAGATCAACCACTAGGGATCGTTTGTTTTGACGTTCGCCCTTGCAGTTAGTACATGCGGGTATACTATAGCTTTCCGACACATTACATCCACACTTAGCTAGTCCTCTAGAGCTGACCAAATTGGTGGAAGCCTATTCCATTCTGGCTCTTACCGGTTGTTTATTAAAGTCTACCCCCATCCTGCTGGGTCCTTATTCTCGAGACAGGGGACCAGCGATCTCATGAGAACGATGGTTCCACTTCGTCACCAATATTTATATTTCCATTACACATACGAAGAGAGCAATCGTTCTCATGAAAATATTGTTCCCGGTTTTGAGAATAAACATCCGGGTGATGAAACAGATTCACCGGGTGACAGCGATCGACCCTAGCGACCGGCTTAATTAATACGCAGCTCTTCTGCAGTGTTCCATTAGACTGCCCTGTGTGAGAGTGGACCAGTAGCGTAACTTTAAATTCGGGGCCCCCCCGCAAGGATTTTTCCGGGGCCCATCTTTTTTAATTTTTTTTTTTTTATGTAAATATTTTCTAAGGAAAAATGCCATCACAATATAGGTAGGTAGGTACCGTAAGTTATTACATTTAAGATTCTAAAGTTGCCATCACTTGACCGAAACTGAAGAGAGAGTGGTGAAATCGGGTGACACATGTAGAAGCGGCACAAAAAGTTACCCAGATCCAAGGTTCCTATATAAAGTGAAAGTTAATAGGTTTTCTGGTAATGGGTAACTTGATGACGCCTCTGGGGTACCTTATGAAGATTTGCATTATGTTGAGGCACCCCAGATGACGTCATAAAGTTATCAGGCAACCTACCACTGTCAAGCCACATTGACCCAGATCCTCAAAATTTGAATTATATTGGATGATGCGTTCCGAAGTTATCGCCTTGAAACGTCGTGAGGGACACCACCCCCAGTAGCACACAATGTTGGTCCGATGTTGTGGATACATTGGACCAATATTGTATGTTGGCCCAATATTGGCATTTTTCAGCCAACATTAGACATTTATTGGTAATACAACTTCTTTCATCATTATAATAATATATTTATCCAAGAATGGGCCAATATGCACAAACAATATTTTTATCGGCAGCATATAGCCAAGATTGGTTACATATTGGCAATACAAATTTTTCTTATATAACAGTGATATATTTATCCATCATTGCACCGATAAGCACAAAAAAATTGTTTTTTTTTGTGCATTATTGAGCCAATATTGGCAATACAACTTTTTCTAATGTTACTATAATATTGTATCCATTAATGGACCAATATGGACAGATAATATTTTTATTTGCATTATTAAACCAATATTGGATAAATAATGGCAAAATAAATTTTTCTAATATAACAGCGATATATTTAGGTATCCATTTTGGCCAAATATTGATTCTGTATTGGTAAAATATTGTAAATAGGTCCAATATTGGCAATTTGTAGCCAATACTGGTAAAATATTGGAGATTTACCTTTTTCCTACATCATTATTATATAATATATGAATCCAAGATTGATCCAATATTGGATCCGATCCATGTTTGGCAATATCTTTTATTCATGTTTATATTTAAGATTTATCCAATATTGGTGATATACCG